TTCGTGGGCTGAATAAGATTACAAGATAGCTGGGTTTAAGTACAGGTGCAAGGCAGTGGAATATAGCAAGGAATATAATTTTTCAAATTAGAAAACTTGTATTGTAACATGTTTTTATTCATCTGATCATCCAAAAACCCAACAGGTGAAAACTCATAAAATATGCAGTGTTTCAAAAGATTTCAGTTATAGCTACTGTACTTGTACTCTGCAGAGATTGGCCATGGGAGGATAACTTCCCCAAATTATCAATTATCCAAGTATCAAGAATGACACAACATTCACATCTAACGCTTATATGACTATAAGGTTTTTTTTAAAAAAAAAACACGCCTTTTTTAAGGCCAAACACAATTACTTATTTTGTTGTCACCTATTACAGACATATGCAATGGCTCTGTAGTGCTAAAATATATACTGAAATACTGAACAATGTGTGGGCTGCTGATTTCAGAAAATAAAGAATAGTACTATTATGAATATGTAATATAAACACCTTCCTAACTCTGCTAAAGAAGCATTAGGTATAACCTTTAAATTAAAGATTCTTTCTCTAATTAAGGAGAAATTAATTTTTCTTGAAAGCTTAGCCTAATAAAAGCAGCATTTACCAAGGAACCCTTTAAGACATTTTTAATTCTTTCTGTTAGGTTTCCCCTCTTTTACCATAATTTATAAAAGGAACTGCTTAATTAAAAAAAACTTCTAAATGTTTTATTATCAATTTTTACTTTATTATACAGTTTGCTTTTTACTGAATTACTAGCTCCAATATATTGGTTACTTTAAAAGTGTAGATTTTGTGATGCAAAACACACAGTCAATGAATGGCATCTAAACCAATTGATCTACCCATTACCATTATCTCCCTTTCCACCCAAGCCTTACTACAAAGCTATTGATTTAAACACTGCCGATCGGTTTCCATTTTCTGATTTTGGGCAGGCTAATTAAGAAAGTGAGTAATTGTGATTACACTGCTTCAGGATCAATTACATTTGATGTAAGACAAAGTTCTCCCTTTTGGAACAATGTAAGGAAATAATTATCATCAGAATTGGTTTATGTGATGAACTTTCCCCTAACTATGAAATGAATGCCACACATATTTGTTTGTTGCAACGTGGGCATAAAATATTCCAAACAAATGTAAAGTCATTTGAAAGACCAGTGTAGATAAAACATATGCCCTGTTTAGAAAGTGTAAGAAAAAAATCTATTTCTTGTGACATATAGTGCAAGTGGTTATGGGAGATGAAAACAGTTTCTAGTCATGGTAGAGACCTTTTATCTTTGCAACACACCACCACAGAGGGCTGACAACGGAACTGCGGGCTGCAGAGAACAGCACAAGGTACAACTTCTGGTCACTGGGGTTCAGG